AGCCCCCACCCATGCCAAAAGCCCTGCATCTCCCAGACAGGGTGACCGCTGCCGCCGCCTTTCTCCCCGAGTCCAGCAAACTCAGCGCTTGCCGGACTTGGGGAGAAAGAGGCGGCGGCGGTCAGGGAGATGCAGGACTTTTGGCAGGGGCTGGGGGGCTTTGGCGGGGGGGGCGGGTCCAGTTTGGCGCCCTAAGGTCCGGCCCACACTCTAGGCGAATGCCTAGTTCGCTTAGCGGGTGAGCCGGCCCTGCCACCAATGCTGGCGCTGTGTGGACACTGACCCTGCGCTTGCACCCGCTGGGGCTGGGTGTGCTCTGAGCCATTGATGGTGCTCTGCCGAAGGCGTAGCACTGGGAACGTACAGGAGGCTAACGTCCTCATTTCCTCTCGTTTCCAGGTGAAATATGTGGAAGAGGAGTTCAAAGAAACAGAAAAAGGGTGGATTGTGCTTGTCTGCATGGGAGCCACGTCAGGGGTTGGACGCTTGGCTTCTGGACCGATCGGCGACCTTATCCATGGGCTGAACAAGATTTACTTACAGGTAGGGCGTCCCTGATCTCTGCATTCATTTTTCCACCCCAGAATGCTCTGAGAACCAACACCCGAAGCTCCTCGGGATAAAAAGGGCTGCCGGACAAGACCCTTCTGTTCCCAGGTTGGGGGCGGGGGGGTGGTGCTATCGGACATTTCTCTCCCTCATGCTGCAGTGTCTTCCAAAACAGTGGCTGAAAGAGGAAAACTGTCAAAGCCGCCCAAGGACTTGGGCACACAAGCGGGGTGGGGGTGGGGTAAGTAGATCTCAGCTGCCACTGTCGCCCTCTGTTGACCTCCAAGAGCTGTGCTTGGAAGGTGATGAGCCAGACTCTGCAGAACTAGCAAAGTCATATGATGGGACTAGACACAGCTTGCAGCACATAACTGAAATGCAGCAAGGGTCAGCTTTTAGCATCATGTGCAGGCAAGTCAGATACGATTGGCTGTAGGCCACGTGGGGTGTGAAGACACCAGCCCTGCGCCGTTGCTATCAAAAAATGAAACACGCCCGGAGCCCATCTGAAGGATTTTAGAGCGACTCTCTCATTTCTGTTTCACGTGTTCTGGGCTAAACTGGAGAGCTACACACCCTGCGGGCAATGTTCCCTCTTAGCTATGGAGCCCTGTGAGCAACACACACCCTGCGGGGGCCCTGGTTCTGATCCGGCAAGAGGGATCCGCGTGCCTCAGCAGCCTTCCTTCCACGTGTGCGACTGAAGCACTGGCGCATCTCCGTCCCCGTGCTCCTCTGGGCCGGGCTGGAGGCAGAACAGGGCTGCCGGTCGTTGCGCATGACTAGTTCCCCGTTGCTACAGTTGGATTAGGGCCGACTCTCTGGTCCGGACGGCTGGTCGGAGGGATGGTTTCCCATCACCAGGGCTGGCTCGTTTTGTTTTGCTTCCCTGGCCCTGGTGGCCAAGGAGGTTTTCTTCCCGTCCAAATGAGAATCCAGTGCATGCTCCCTCCCTGGGACTTGCAGCAGGGTGTTGGGATCCCAAGCATCGAGAATAAATCCACGTTTTAAACAGCAAGATTTTATTTCAAAGCATTGGAAAGATACTCAAACACGTTCTTTGTTAGAACTGACTCACAGAGTCCACCCTCCAAAGCAGCCATTTTTCTTCAGGGGAACTGATCTCTGTCAGCTGGAGGCCAGCTGTAATAGCGGGAGGCCTCCAGGCCCCACCTGGAGGCTGGCGACCCTAACGTGCGGGCGCTGAACACGGCCGTGGTGGGAGGGAGGGACTCTCTGACGATGACGCCTGTTTCCTGGGATGGGGCAGTGGCAGCCGGGGTTCACTCTGACAGGACATCCAGTCTCGGTGGGGCTGTGAGTGGGAGAGAGAGTGCGCCTCTGCGCCACCGGCCATCCCCCTGGATGCCTCCCCGACGGCTCTCAATCAATAAACCTTTAATGGCATATACAACCTTAAAAATCAAGACAGGAAATGACAACATGACAACTAAAAGTCTAGGTTAATTATAAAACCACGAAACGGACTTTCCCAAATTTTTCACTCTCAACACGTCAACTAAAAAATTGGCCACTGCCACAGTCATCTCTCTGCTGTTACATCGTTCCATAGAAATTGGCATTTTATTTCGTTGGAAAGGTGATGTTTACCATGCCACCAAGTGTTTAACCATTTTTCCCTAGCAGATGCACGCCACGAACAGTCTAACAATATGTGATCAATTGAATCAAGAGAGTTAGAACCGCAGTCACATCTCCGTTCGTACTTAGGAGTATTATGAAACCTACCATACAGTAGTTTTGATGGAAAGGCATTTACTCGAGCAAGAGAAAACGCTCTTCGGTGGCTAGGGCTATCAAGATTATACAAATACAGGGGGATACATCCCACAACATTCTTAAGACTTAATGTAGCTGAAGAACAGACAGGGGGATGAAGGGGCTGCAGTTTTTGAAGTTCAATATCTACCAGCCTCTGTTTGATTGTTTGGAAGATATACACTTCAGAGGCTCTCCGGTGTGTCTCTTTCCCGGAATTCAGACACTCCAAAGGGCATCGCTCCAGAATATCGGGAGCGGGTCTCGCATTCTGACCTCAGGGCCTTCCGAGACGTCTCCGCTCCCCTCCTCCTCCTCATTGGCTGGGGTGGGGGGAGGGTGATGCGAGGGCTGCCGTGGGCCGCCGCCCCCCCCCCATCGAGTTTGGCGTGGGCTCCCCGGAGCCTGCACGAGTGGCCTGTTCACGGAGACTGTCGCTGAGTCCTCCCCAGAGACCCTGAGGAGGGAGGCGTACAAATGGGCAGCCTGGCTGGAAAATCCGCAGCTTACCCATCCGGCTCTTTAGAACCACAGGAGACAGACCAACGGGGGGACGCTGGAGGGCCCTCGGAAGGCCAGAGGAATGCTGCGGTTCTGTGTCCTCCGCATGCTGACCCACTTTCTGCTGCGTCTCCGAGAGGCTTCCTTTTGTTTGCTTGCCTGCCATGCTTGTGTGCGTGTGGGGGTGTGTGTGCGGAGGGGCTTTCTTTTTCCCCCTGCAGGCCTCCTTCTCTTTCTGGCCAGCAAGAACCGCCCGTCCTCTGAAATTCTGCACTCTCTGTTGGTCGCTCTGTTCTGGAGCAGTGGGGGGG